TTTTTCCCTCATGTTTCACCCCAGGAAAAAAAAAAAAAATCTGCCTTAATTTTTAGGGGCTGCAAGGAATTTATCCCAGAAATCCCAAGGCGATGCCATCCCCCCGCATCTCCCGGGGAGTGGCTCCCACCCCACCGCTTGTCACGGACTCTCCGGACAAAACTTTTCCTTTCCCCCACAATAAATTTCCCATTTACATTTTTAAGGGAAGAAAACGTTTTTGGTTTTTTTTTTTTTTCCGGTGTTTTTGCTGCCTCGCTGTCGGGAATGATTACTCCCAGATTTATGGGTACCTGGGAGCTCCGAAACTCGCCGGGATAATGACGCGGGGAGTCCTTGTCAGCCTCAGATCTGATTTATGGAGAGCGATTTCACCCTTCCCGGTGCGTATGATTTACTGGGAGCTGGAAGCTGCTCATTAAGGGATGGGATGAATAAACCCCCCCCCGGGGCATTGGGGAAAGAGTTTTGTGCTCGCAAATCCCACAGGGAATTCCTTGGGGGCAGCGCGATCAGGGCCCTCGCTCGGGTGATTTGGGATGGGCTCCCGGCATGGCTGGGCTGGGAATTGGGGAGGGATGGGGTTGGAATGAGCCCCCGGAGTGGGGGGAACGTCCTGGGATGCCCCCAGGCACGGTCTGGGTCCCTCTCCCTGTGCATTCCCAGTGGGAATGCCCCCATCGGGATGCAGAGCCCCTCCGATCCCAAACACTCCGGGAGAAGCTGGAGCCGCTCGGATTTGCTCCTTCCAGCGCTGATTCCTGGAAAGGTTCGGGTTTATTCCCGATCCCTGCCGGGATCAGGGAATTGTTTCAGCCCTTCCTGCACGGCCAGGAGCGACCCCCCCGCTCCTCCCGCCTCCCAAACCATCCCCTCCCTTTTCGCTTTTCTCCCCCCATTTCCCCCCATTTCCACCATTTTCCGGTCGTTTTCCAGAGGAAAACCAAACTCTGCCCGGGGTCACCCCGTGGAAACCCGGATCCAACAGGAGGCTCAGCCCAGCCCTGCACCAACCATGGGAATAATTAATTACCCCCCCAAATGAATAAATTTCTACCCCCACCCCCCCCCCCGGGAATTAATTCCCCCCAGCCAGGCAGTTGTGCATCCCACGGGAAGCATAAATCCGCAATAAAATCCAAATTAATCCGATTTACACCCGTTTTTTGTTTGTTTTTTTTTTTTTTTTTTCCAGCCGCTGTGGTAACCCAGGGCCGGATCCTGCTCCTGGTTGTGTCGCTCTTAAATCCAAAGTGATCTCATTTACTTTTTTTAAAGCAAATATTTGAGATTTACAACCCTCCAGTGCCACTCTAAAATAAGAAAACAAACTCTAACCCGTTCGAATCCGACCATTTCCCAGCAAAGAAAATATTGGAATAAACTCCTTTTACTCACAGATGGGATAAATCCCATATTTTCCCTCCGTCCCTTCCTGATTTTCCAGGCGCTATCGGATATTTTGGGAGTCAAAAAGACCCGTTTCGCTCCCAGTTACACAACTTTTTCTGGGATTAATGGCTCAAAAACACACCCAGCCCCAGCACCTCTCCCAAATCCCAACTCGCTGCCGCTTCCAGGCTTCCTTTCCACCCCTTTTTTTTTTTTAATCCCCTCTATAATACGTATTTTTGGAGCAGCTGGAAGGAAAACAAGCCTGAAATGGGCTCTTCCCAAAGCAGCCTGAAATTCCCCTGCACGGATCAAGCACAAATCTTCCTTTTTAAAAAAAAATAAAAAAGCAAAAAATCCGTCCCGGCATTCCAGGACGGCGAGGGGAGAAGGGATCCCGTGGAGCAATCCCGGTGTAAAATTGAGTCCACGAACCCGAATTCTCTCTCTGCTGGAATTCCCGGAGTGCGAGGACGGAGCCGGATCCTCCCTTTCGAGCAGCCCGAGGGAATTAAACAGATTTATTCCCGCAGCTCCTCAAAAACACCACTCCATTTATTTGTAAAAGCTTGGGATTTTTAATCCGGCGGCGACAAAAAAAAATAATAATAAAATATAAAAATAAATAAATAAATAAAAAAGTTTTCGCGTTGTTTTGAGCCGAACCAAAATAACGTCGATTTTTTTATCGTGATTTCCTCATTGCAAAGCAAAGGAAAAGTCCTGGAAATTCGAAGGAAAACTCCATGGGAATGCAGCGGGAAACAAAAGCGCCGGGACCGGGAGTTCCCGCCGGGATAAAATCCCGGCCCCGCCGTTTGATCCCTCCGTGGAATCAGCAATTCCCGGCCCCGGCTGGCACCGATCGAGGCTCCGGATCCAGAGCCGGGAATGGAAACGGGATCGTCGGGTTTTGAAACACTGAGAAAAAAAAAAAAAAAAAAAAAAATCGCTAAAAATGGAATTTGTGGGGAAATTCGCTGTTTTCATGGAAAAATCCCCCCGTTGGCAGCGCTGGGGGAAGGGGGGGGGGGGTCCGCCTGTTATCCCTCCTCGCTGCCCCTGGAAGTAGAAGCTGCAGAAATTTAATATATTTATACTGATTTAGGGATTTCTGCGATTATTTGCATGTGATTCCCACATGTTCATCCCCATCTCTCCGCCATCCAGGCGCAAAATTCCACGGTTTTTCGTGCCCCCCGTGCTGAAAACACGAGGTTTTATGGGAACAAACACGGCGTTTGTGGGCAAAATTATGATATATTTGCGTGGGATTAAATTATCAGTATGGCTAAAAATAAATACATAAATGGGGCCTGATGTTTCAATATGAAATAATAATTAAGCACGTATTTATATGAAAATATTAATGTGTGTATAGGGAATTAGAGAGTTTTGGAATGGTTTGGGCTGGAAGGGACCTTTACAGCTTCTTCACATTTCGGCTTTCCACTATCCCAGGTTGCTCCAACCTGGCCTTGAGCGTTTCCAGGGATAAAAAAGGTGTTAGAAAATAATATAACTTAATAAATAGAATGCAATTAATATTACCTAATTAATATAATGCAATCTAGCGTGTATAATATACCATAATTAATATAGTGTATTTAATAATACATTATCTGTCTATATATATTATATATATTATATATAAATAATATATATTATATAAAATATATAATATAATAATACATAAAATGTTAATATATTGTATTATGTATTCAATATTAATTCAATAATGTAATCTTAATATTTAAATTGTATCTAAATGGCAGCTCTAAATCCACAGACGTGCCTGTGAGACACGAGTGTGACCGGGGAACCCACGTGGGGGGATATTCGTGTTTGTGCTTTTGCTCTGGTGGGATAAACCTGGGGTTGTGACCGACCAAAAAAAAATAGATGTCAATTGTGTATATAAATATCTGTTTTTATGGAAAGCATATATTTTATATAAATGTTTATTTTATGTAGATTTTATACAAATGCATGGACTTTTATATATAAAAGGCACATTTTATCTAAAAATAACGAACTTACAAATACATATTTTTCCACGGACATCTGTTTCCTACAAATAAACAAACAGGCATTGAAATGGCTTCATTATTTCCCCTTTATTATTGAAATACTTATTATTTCGAGTCTGTTTTCCTGCCACCAAGGCGCCCATTCCTGAGCAAAATGAAACTGCAGCTGGGGCTGGAGCTCCGGGAGGAGCTGGACGTTGGGAATGAGAGGATTTTCTGGGATATTTGGGACGTGCAGAGGGACAAAGTCTGTGGATGGACCGGGAAGAACCCCCCGGGCGTCCCCAAAAGGTTCACCCACGGAGGCCTCTGTGAGCTGTCCCGGCTCCTTTTGTGTCCCCAGGCGGAGAAGAGCCAGGAATTCTTTTCCCTGGGATAGAGGGGCAGAGCTGGAGAACATCCCCCTGTCCCTTGGGCCGGGAACTCCCGACACCAGGAATGCCGCAGGATGGAGGCCCCAAATGCCACCAGGACTGTCCCTTGTCCCTTGGAGCTCACGTGGAGCTGAGATGTCCCCCCTGCTCCCCAGAGGAACCCACAGCTTTTCCCCCGCTGGCTTCCAGGGCCGGGATTTCTTCCCAAAGCTGTTAAAAATCCTTTAAAAAAAATAATAACTAAAATAATAAACCCCTCCCTCCAGGAGGGAAAGCCCAGGGGGTGGAATCAGACCCGGATGACGATGCTGGTGGTCACCTCCATCTCCCAACTCCGGGGCTGGGAGGGAAAGCACATCCCTAGGGAAGGAGAAGCCCATTCCCTGCTCGTCAGGCACTGCTCCAGCCCCTCTCCAGCATTCCCAAGGCTCTGGATCGCGCTGGGAAAGCCTCAGGGGGTGTTCCTACAAACCCCAGAGCTCTGCCATCCTGCAGAGCTCCAGGGCACCCCGTGATCCCAACGGAGGAGCTGCAGCTCCAGTCGGGGAAAAAAATCAATGGGATGTAAAGAGAGAGAAAAAAAAATTCCTCCTCTCAACAAGAAGAGAGAAACCGAAAGCAGGAAGAGTTTTCCCTCAGAGGATCCCTCTGGAGTCCTCCCGCTGCACTTGGTGGCTCTGCTGACGCCGCCTTTAATTGGATTTGGTGGTAAATCCAATTAAAACTGGGCCACAAAAGGTCATTTCGATCCAAGAGCCGACCCAGCAGCTCTTCCTCATCCCAGCAGCTGGAGGTGTCGGAGTGGGGCACTGGGATGTTGGGAGAAGTTTCCCTGGAAGGTTTTCGGCCAAGGACAGGGTGGGGGATCATCCTGAGCCCAAAAATAAGCTGGTCCATGGTAAATGAGCTCCAGGAGCCCCACGGGGGCCTCCCTGCCCTGGTCAGTCTCATCCTGGCACCCACCTGTCAGCCTTGTCCCTGGTCCCAAAGCACCCAACACATCCACCCCCAAACCCAGGAGGATGAGATTCCCAAACCCAGGAGGATGAGACCCCCTGGCCTGGCTCCACACACAGGAAATCCCAGAGCAGAGGGTTGGTGGCAGGTCCAGAAGATTCCTGGAATCCTGCCCGGTGAAGGGACCAAATTCCTCGGCAGCTCCAGGAACCAACATCAACATCCCCCCCTAAAATCTCACCAACCTCACTCTGCCTTCAGCTCCAAACTCCCCCAAACCCCACCTGCCTCAGGTCTCTCCACCTGCCCAGGAGGATCCCAGGGATCCCTTTCCAAAGCCTGTCCCGCTCCCCAGCCCTGCCCCAGGTAGAGAGACTCATCCTGCTCCAAAATCCCCTCGAACACCGGTGACAAACCCAGGAGTTAAAGCTGAGCAGCCTTTCCAGGAGTTGTGTTTCAGGATGTTTAATGACCTGTGCCGTGCCAGAGGCCTCCCAGCCCTAATTTAACCAGTTTCCAGCACACAGGGAGCTGAGGGCGGTGGAAAACCGGACAAGTCCTGGCAGCTCCAGCTGGGGAATTTCCACCATCAGGGAATGCCCAGGGTGGGCGAGGAGGGGGCACTGCCCTCTCAGATCCCCCTTCCGTGCAAAACCAGCCCCTCAAAGGCCTCCAAAAGAATAACTTGGAGCAACCGGCCAGGATTTGTCTCTCCCTGAGCAGGGGCTGGAAAATCCAGCTGGGATTTACACCCCAAATCCATCTCTCCTGCTGCTCCACCAATTTCCCCCACACTCCCAAACACCACACCAGCCCAGGCAGAGGGGCTGACATTATATTTATGCCATGAACTCTTTGAAATGGGATTGTCTCATCATTCCAGGGTTGGTTTTTTTTTTTTTCCCGGTGCCTGGATAAAGGTCCTGCCCCGGCAGCACCAACACCAATAAAAGTGATAACGTTATTTATGGCGGGTGTTATCCCAACACGCATCTGGGATCTGCTGGCTCCTTCCCCGCCTCCTTTGGCTGCTCCCACCCAGCTCATCCCCTGCCCTGCAGCCCCCCAGACCTGCAGGGCGGTTTTTCCCTGGAGCTGGAGCCGGGAATGACGCCCAAGGAGCAGCGAAAATTGCTGTGCCCGGGGGAAAAACGGCAAAGGGAGGGTAAAACTTCACCCCCCCGGGCCAAGATTTCTGCTCAGTTCTCCCGGCCCTTTGTTAATCCCCTCTCCGAGGCTTTGAATGCCAAATCTGCCCCCTTTGTTGTGTGCAAAAACTCCCCCCAAAACTGGATCCCCTCACCCCAAACAAGGCAAACCTCCAGTCCTGGGGAGCAGAGGAGTAAAAATGGGGAGGGGGAAAAGTCCTGGTGAGCTCTGACCTGCTCTGTCCCCACTGCCAAAGCCAAAGTCAGGATCCTGGGATGAAGGGATCCAAATCCTGGGGCGTGGGAGCAACGGCAGGGACGTGTGGGAAGCAGGATGGGACCTCCTCGGTGTTTGGAGCAACGACCACCCAGCCCAGCAGCGCCCAGCTCCTGCTGCAAGGGCTGCTGTGTCCCAGGATCACCGTCATCCCTGGATCCCGTGTCCCAGCGGGGTGATTTTGCCTGGATTCCTTGCCCGGGGTCACCACCATCCCTCAATCCCGTATTCCAGATCTGGATTCCATGTCCCGGGTTCACAATCATCCCTGAACCAACTCCTCCCGTAGACCTTGGGAAGGGGAAAATAATCCAGAGGACGTTGGAAGAATGGAAGTTTGTCCCCGTGGCTGGGATTTCTCGCAGCTCTCAGCGGACAGGGATGGAGTTTTAAGTCAAGGAAGGGCCTTGGGCACTTCCTGTGGCTTGGAGACACCGGGAGCACTGGGAGGGGGGAGCGGAGCTCCTCCCGCGACCACTGCCCCGAGGATGGAGGGTCTGACCCACTCGGGAAAGAGCCCCCGGGGGGGGGTGGGGTGGATTTGGGATTAGAGGGTTAACGAAGCGTTTGGGACGACGCACGTGACTGTGGAGTGGGGGGTGCGGTGGGTGGGGGTGTCCGGGCTGGGGGGGCTGCCGGGCGATCCCTCCCTCCCTCTCCCCCCCCCCAAAAACGTCCCCCTCCTCCCGGTCCCTCGCACAAAATCCGCTCCCGCCGCCCATCCCCGGCCCCTCCAACCTGCGCCATGGAGGCTCCGGGCTGCCCGGCCTTCCCCCCGCCTCGCCGGCCCGGGGGTCCCCCGGGGGTCCCGCGGCCTCCCACCGCCTTCGCCCTGGGCCCACCGGGCCCCCCTCGGCGGCCGCCGCCGCTCAGCCCCCGCCCCGCCCGCTGCCCGCCGGCCCGGGCTCAGCCCCGGTACCCGGGGGTCTCCAGCTCGTGCCCCCCCGCCGTGGCCGCCCATGGGAAGCCCCCGTACCCACCCGGGGTACCCGCAGGTACCGGGGGAGCGCCGGGTGATGGGGGGGGAGGGCGCGGCGGCCGAGCCCCTCCCGACCCCTTCTGCTTCTCTTCGCCCCTCTCTGCCCCCGCCCGCGGGCTCTGCCGGGACCCCCCCGCCCCCCCCGAGGGTCCCATCGCCCACCTTCTCCCCCACGGCTTCAGCGAGGCGGTCGCTGTCGCGATATGGCCCCGTCGGGGACCGCCAGGGCATTCCCCCGACGGGAACCGGAGCCGGTAAAGGTCGCGCCGGTGCCACCGAGTGTCGGCGACCGGGACTGTGTCACGACAGAGAGCGGGGGGTCCGGGATGGTTCCCGTTCTGCAGAAAGGAGGGGGGAAGAGGCGGCGGGACAGACCCGGCCCCGCTGCGACGGCAGGACCGGCCCGGGCGGGGAGCGGCGGAGACAGAGCCCCTTACCGGGGTCGGTGCCCGTTGCTGGGGACAGAGAACGGCCCCGTTCCCCGGAGGAGGCCGGAAAGTCGCGCCCGGCCGCCCCTTCCCTTCCGCGGGACGCCCCGGGCAGGACCGGTGGCAGCAGCCGGGGGGGCTCCGGGATCGGGGGGGAGGGCCGGACAGCGGGGCTGGAAGAGCACTGAGGTCCCCGGGTCCGGGACTCCAACGCTCCCGGTTCCCCGGGGCTCCAACAATCCCAGTTTCCCGGTGTCCGCTATCCCGGGGCTCCCCCCCGGTACCCGACTCCAGAGCTCCCGGTGCCCCTCGGCTCGGGGTTCCTGGAGCTCCGCTCCCCTCTCCAGGCTCGGGCAGGACCAGGTTCATCCCCGATGCTCTTCCCGCACCGTCCCGGCCGGGCCCGTCGGGGGCTCCTCGGAGAACCCCCCGCTCCTTTTATCCCCCGTTTCGCTTTAATATGAGAAGCAAAAGGCAGCGACGCGGGGGGAAATGGGAACCAAGTGGGACCCAGCAAAGGCCCCTTCCCTTCATGGGGAACAGGTAGAGAACACCCCGGGAACAGCGGGTTGGCGATACCGGGACGATCCCGCAGCACTTACCTGCTGCCGTTCCGGGGAGCCCTTTCCGCGCCTCCATCCCTTCGCTAATGATCCCTGCTAGCTCTCCTTTCCCCTCCCGTTATCCCAGGAATTGTGCAGCTGTTCCCCAGCTGCCCCTTCCCCCAGCGCCGCCGAATCTTTCGGGGGGTGTCGGTTTAGGAAGGAGATGGGAGGGGGAATATCTCTGCCTTCCCTTTTCCCCATCTTTTGTCCCCCCTGTCTCGGTGTTGATTGAGCTGCGTGCCTGGATCCCGATCCTCCCTGCCTTTTCCTTCTTTCTGGGCATTTATTTAGTTGTCCCCGATGCCAAAACCCGCTCGGAAATGCTCCACGCTGCCTTTGGAAAGGGGGGGAAAACAACCCAAACTCGGTGCTTTGTGCAGCGCGCGTTTATTTTGGTCGCATTTCCCCTGATTTTGGTGATACTCGGGGGGGTTTTACCTTCGCTCTGCTCTTTGGTGGGGCTTGTTTTTTATCACTAAAACCCCCCGGCCGAGCCTTTCGGAGGCCAAAATGGGGAGGTAAAGGGAATTTGGCCTCATCCCTTCGCCGTTATCCGCGACCAGGCACGGGGACAGGTCGGTACCGGGAGGGGGGGCGGGAAGGGACGGGGAACAACCGTCCCACCAAACCTCCCCTCAGATTCCATTTACCCATTAATCCAAAGCAGCTGCACCCGGGCTCGGCTGCGCCGTAACCCCCAAATTGCCTTAATTAGGAAACAACCAAAAATCAAAACCGAAAGGCCGGAAAAGGCCGCGGAGGGGGCTGGTTCGGGGGGTGCGGGGGTTGGTTTAGGGAGTTCGGGGGGCTGGTTTGGGGGGTTCAGGGGGTGGTTTGGGGGGTGCAGAGGCTCGTTTGGGGGGGTTGGGGACCCCATTCCCCCCGCTCCTTTGGGACGTTGGTTAAAGGGCTGGGAAGGAGGATCCATTCCAAAGGGGGCATTCCCCTGATCCTGCCCCTCCGAGGGGGCCAGTGATCCGCTCCCCCAGAAACCCCAAATCCCTGCAGCTCCCGGTTGGGATGCGATCGGGGCAAACCCCGCATTTTTAGGTTTTCTCCTTCCCCGTGTCCCCTCGGCTGCTGGGGGACCCCAAAGCATTCCCCCCATCCCCTAATTCCCTCCTCAGCTCCCCCTTTCCCGGCTCGGCTCCTCGGGATCTCAACAGCCCCCCCGGAGCCGCCGAGCTCTGTGTGTGTCCCCACGTGGGGACAAACAACCCTCGCGGGGGGACAGGGGCGACCCCCGAACCTTGATCCCTTCCCACCCACCCGCACAGAGGCGCAGCAGCACAGAGGGGAAGGGGAGAACCCCCAAATTTCCTGCCCTCATCCCAGGGGGAGTTCTTCTCCAGGAAAACAAACAAACAAACAAACAAAAAGAGGGGTGTTGTGTTTTTTACACCTTTCCAAGAGTTTTCGGGGGGCTCGATACCCCCAGAGCTGGGAGGTCCTTCGGTTCTGCCCTGGAGGGGAAGGGAGCGGGAGGAGAGGGACGAGCAGAGGAACCGGGAGAGGAACGGGGGGGATTTAAGCCCCGTCTGCAAGACAACCCGGTGTCCATCTTCTCCGCCCCCATCCCAACACCCCCCAGTGGGTCCCCGAACCCCCGCTGCTCCATCCAGGCTTTTCCCACCCCCTCGGGGGGCTTTTCCTGCCCTCATCTCCCACGCCTCGAGCGGGATTTTGCCCTCCCCGCTGATGGATTTGCCCCGCTGCGTGTCCTTCCTCTCGGAGCCGTTTCCCAATCCCTTGGGATGAGGGCTGGGATGGGGCTGTGTCCTCACTGACACCCTCTGTGCCTCCCCCCCAGGTGAGAAGGGCTGCAAAAGTGGCTTCCAGACGCTTCCCGGAGCCTGCCGGGCCCCCCACAGAGCCCCGGGGGATTTGGGGTGCCCGCTGGCAGCACCCCTGGGTGCCCTGCGGGACCGCGGGGTCCCCGAGCTCCCCGAGCCCCTGGGCAAGAGCAAGAGCAAGAAGCGGAGGAACAGGACGACCTTCAGCACGTTCCAGCTGGAGGAGCTGGAGAAGGTTTTCCAGAAGACGCATTATCCCGACGTCTACGCGCGGGAGCAGCTGGCGATGCGGACGGACCTGACGGAGGCGAGGGTGCAGGTGAGGAACGGACCTCTGGCTCCAGAGGGCTGGGAATGGACACCCAGGCAGGGCTAGGAGGTGTTTTTCCCCTCCTCCATGCCGAGGTGGAAGCTGGTTTTCCCAGGATTACTCTAAATCCCAGATGGGGATTCTTGTTCAGTGTGCCCGTCACCCACCGCTGGGATGTGGGCGCTAGTTGCCTCTAAAACTCTGCCCCTTTTCCCCTCTCTCCAGTACCCCAGGGGTGGGAAGAAGCCAAAATTTGGGAGGTCGCTGCCAACCTGCATCCCTCCCCCCGCCTGAATCCGTCATTCCCAGCCCAGGAGGGATCCCGGGAGCTCGGCACGGGCGGGGCTGGGGGTGCCACATCCTGGGATGTGGCGCAGGATGAGCCCGACCCTTATCCCGCGCTCCATCGGCATCGCACCCCCCGGGAGCTGCTTCCAGAAGTGTCTCCAGGGGGAAATTGTGACTCCAGGTGGGAAGAGGAGTCTGGAGGAGGCACCCAGAAGGGAGGGAATGAAGGCAGGGAGTTCCCACGGGGAGCTGGAACTGCCCTTCCCAGGGGTGGGAGCGGGGACAAGGCTCAGGATGTGCCCCCCGGAGTCTGAACCCACCCAGCGCCCACCCAGCGGGGCCTGGATTTGGGGTGGATTTGGAGGAAATCACCTGTAACCACGGGAGCCCCGAGCCAGGTATCCCGATCTCCTCCTTCCTCCTCCCCGGGAGACGCCGCTGGAGCCGCTCCCACCCCAGGGAGCACCAGAGATCCCCCCACCCCAGTACAGAGGGACACCAGGACCCCAAAACCGCCTCGTCCTGCAGCAAAATGTGGTGTAAACGAGGCTCCGAAGCGCCAGGGAGGGGAAAGAGCCACTCACGGAGCGGGGCTGATGGTTTTCCAGGCGGGATAAGAGCCGTTCCCGCTGTCTGGAGCGGAAAAGGCACGGGCAGGGTCCCTGCGCTCAGCTCGGCTCTCCGGGAGGAGCTGGCACCGCGTCCAGGCATTTTCCATGCGGGAAGGAGGGTGGATCTCGGGCAGAGAGGCTGAGGGGAGCGGGGGGAGGGTCCCCATTCCTCAGCAACCCCCCCTCCATCCCCAGGTCTGGTTCCAGAACCGTCGGGCCAAGTGGCGGAAACGGGAACGTTACGGGAAAATGCAGGAGGTGAGAGATGTTCCCCCATTTCCCGGGGGAGGGGGCTCGTCCCACCCAACCGGGGGTGTCCCGCATCGCCCAGTCCCGCCCTTTCTCCCCCACCAACCCCGCGGTTCCCCCCACCCTCGGGAAAAGGATGGCTCTGGATGGAAAAGAGGGAAAAGAGCATTTTTTTCCACACGCAGGAAAGAAGCTGCTCTGTGTCCCACTCCATCTCCCGTGGGGTTGTGCCCTTTCGGGGCAGGTTTTGGGGTGTCCCCCCCTCTTAAGAGCCCCATCAGTGCTTCCTGACCCCTCCCCCCCCTCTCTCTTTTCTACAGAACTGCCCTCCCCAAATATGGAAAAGCATAAAAATAACTGAGGGGGATCCCAGGGGGAATATGGGGGATCCAAGGGGGTTTGGGGGGATCTGAGGGGGGAGTGAGAGGGATCCGAGGGGGGTGGGAATGAGGAGGATCCAAAGGGGGAATTGAGTGGGATCCGAAGGGGGAATGAGGGAGGCCCAAGGCGGGATAAGAGGGATCCCAAGGGCGGATTAGGGGGATCCAAGGGGGAGGGGGGATGTCAGAGGGAGTGAGTGGGATGTGAAGGAGAATCTAAGGGCGATTCAAGACGGAACGAGGGGGATCTGAGGGGAGAGGAGAGGTGTCATACCCACCCTCACCTCCCTTTGCCCCCCCCCCCCCCCCCTTTCCCCCCCCCCCCCCCGCAGTTTCGCTTTGGGCTTGTTTTTTAATTATTATTATTTATTTTGGTTTTTTTCAGCTGCAGAACAACCTGTGGCCGAGCCCTGGGAGCCCCCCGGGGCTCCTGCCCGCCGAGCCCCTGCCGTCCCCCTGCCTGTCCCCGTATCCCCCCGCCCACGGCAACGGCTTCGTGGCCCTTCCCGCCTCCCCCGGAGCCCCCCCCGCCATCAGCGGCCTCTACTCCCTGCACGGGCTGCCCCCCCCGGGCCTGGCCCCCCACCCCTTCGAGCCCCCCACCCCCCAGCACGACTACAAAGCGCCCCCGCTGCTGCCGCTGAGGATGAAGAGCAAGGAGGGGGCCGGGAACCTGCTGGGCTGGGCCACCTGATCCTCCTCCCCCCCATCCCCGGCACCAGGATTTGGGAGCGGGGTGGTGGGATCACCTCCCCCCCTACACACACACACACACACACACACATCCCGATCTCCAGGATCTCCAGTTTTCCTGAATCCAGCGCGACGCTGCTGCTCTGGGGAGGCTAAAGGGGGGCTGTGGGGAGAGAAGAGGGTCACACCCCCTCCCACCACCTCCCGGCGTGGCACTGGCAGCTCAGGACCCCAAAAGCGGCTCCCTGAGCCCCTCCAAGCACCTTTGATGGAGGGGGTTTGATGGAGATTCCCGGTGGTTTGCAGCCCCCATGCCCTGGCAGGGGACACAGGGTGTTTTGGGGGCTCCTCTGCCCTCCCCAGCTGGAATTTGGCTGCTCACACCCCCCTCCCAGCGCAACCAGCACTGGCAGAAATTGGGCTCTTCGGCTTCTTCCACTCCCAGTCCCATACTGGGAAGGCCCCCCCTGCACTGGGACAGTTACTGGTGATCATGGGGGGGTTACTGGGGGCAGAGCTGTGTTCAAGGAGCCCCCAAAGCCCCCCCTCCCCAGTCCTTTCTGCTCCCCTTTTAGGGGGGGAAATAAGACCCCAGGACAAGCCCTGGCACAGCCCCAGTTCTGGAGCACTTGGAGCCCCCTGGGATGGGCAATAAATCCATGGGGTGGGGGCTGAGGGGGTAAAGATTCCCAAATTGAAGCCTGTTTCCCTTGGGAGGGGGGTCACCTGTCACCCCTTGGAGGGATGAGGTGGGGAGGTGCTTTAATCCCCCCAGGTGGGACTCACCCCCCACCTCAAGTGGAGTGTTGGGGGCACAACTGGTCGATCTGGGGGGGTGGGGGTCCCCATTTTGGGGGGGGTCTGAGTGGTGGTGCCTGTATGGCCAGTCCTGGGGGGGAAAGGGGGGGGGTCACCTCATTGCATCCAACTCGTTTCATCTTTTCTGGGGGTCCTGGGGGGAGTCACCCCAAGTCCTTCCAAGAGCCAAAAACGCCCCCCAAAACTGTGATGTCTCCCTGTCCCATCCTGACTGGGGGAGGGGGGGGACACACACCCCGGTGGGGCACCTGAAACCCCTCCTGGGGAGGCACCAAACCTGCTGCTCCAGCCCAGTCTGGGCCAATCCCCAGGGTTTTCAGCCCAAACCTGGTACAGCTTGGTGCCCCCCCCTCCACATCTCACCCCCCTGTCCTGGCAGGGGGGATTTGGTTCTTCATTTCTTAGCAATAAAACACATTTTTAATAACTTATTTACGGCTCTGGCACTGCTTACGAAGTCCAGCGGGGGTGGGGAGGGAGATTCCCACCTGGATCTGGGGTGGGCTCTGGGAATGGGGTTTGTTGTGTCCATGGGGGCTGGATTCACTCCTGGAGCTCCACAGCCTCAGCCCTGAGCTTGTCCCACAAGGAGGGGGAACATTAAACCTTCTGGGGACGGCTCAGGACCCCTGTGGGTCGGGAAGGGTGACAGGGAGGAGATGAGGACCCCCCCTCCCAGCTCGGGGTGGGGGGCACAGACAGAGCCTGGGCACACTCAGGGCAGAGGTATCACCAAATATATATAATTTATATACAGCTCATCCTCCCCCCGGGGGTGAGGGGACACCCCCCCAGCCCCTCGAGCCCCCCAGCAGGGGCTGGGCAGGGCCAGCCTGTTGTCCCACCCAAGGGACCCCCTCCCACACTGCCACCTGCCCCCCTTTTTTTTGGGATGGAGGGGGCACTGGGGAGGGGCAGGTGCCCCTCACAGCAACCTCAGGGTGGGGGGCACAAACCTGGGGGGGGGTGGTAAATCCACCCAGTGGTGGGCACATCCCACCCAGGGCTGGAGAGATCCCAGGTGGAGGGCACATCCCTGGATCTACAGACCCCCCCCCCACCCACCGGGAACCCCCCCAGGGCAAGCCCCCCCCCTCAGCTCTGGGATGAGCTGGAACGGGGCACAAAGGCAGGATGGCACCTCAGCAAGGACCCCCCCCAGCCCCACCCTGTTCCCAAACCACCCCCCCATCACCAAAACCTCCAGACACACCCGCCCTGCAGAGCTGCCCCATCCCCACCCCCTGTGTGTGTGTGTGTTTGTCCCGTCACTGCAGCAGCTCCTCCCAGGAGATGGGCCTGGAGAACACCTCCCTCTCCAGCCACAGGTCATAGTTGACCTGGAAGTCCTCGGGCAGGTCGACCCTCTGGCCCAGCACGCTCTGCAGGCAGTTGTCCACCGGCAGGAACTCGGGGTTGCCGTGGCCGCGGTCGTAGCGCCGCGAGTTGAAGCGCTCGATGCTGGCGCGCAGGGCGCACTCCTCGGCCTGGAAGTCCCAGGGACGGGCGTCCAGGTCTGGGCAGGAGAGAGAGCAAACAGCTCAGGGCACAGGGAAAAGGGGCTGTAGGTCCTGGCAAGGGTGGGAGCGGCAGCTCCAGAGCATCTCCAACAGGAGGTGCTGCTGGTTCAGACCCCTGGGGCCAAAAACGAGTCCCAGAAAACCGCAGTGTCCCCTCCTGACAAATCCTCCCCTCCTGACAAATCCTCCCCTCCCAAATCCTGACAGGGCCATGGGGGGTACTGAACCTGCTGTTCCAGCCCGATTTAGGGTACAAGCCAAGGTTTTCAGCCTAAGGGACCTGGCACAGCCCTTGAGCCCTGCAAAGCCTCCACCCGGAATCCCTCCTGCATCCCAGACCTCTGGAATGGGTTTGGCTCAGCTGGATTGGGTTTGGCTCGGCTGGGCTGGGTCTGACTGAGCTGGGAAGCGGTAGAAAGGGCTGGGAAAGAGCTGGGAAGGGCTGGGAATGGCTGGGAAAGAACCAGAACAGCTGGGAAGAGCTGGGAAAGAACTGGGAAGAGCAGCTTGGTGGGCACCTGGTCAAGGTCAACTGGTCAAGGTCAGCCAGCCAAGGTCACCCCACCCCACGGGCAAGAGCCCCCGGAGCGGGAACGTATCAGGAATGCCATGGGAATGCCGTGGGAATGCCGTGGGAATGCCTGGGAATGCCATGGGAATGCCTGGGAATGCCGTGGGAATGCCGTGGGAATGCCTGGGAATGCCATGGGAATGCCGTGGGATGCTGTGGGGTGCCAGGATGTACCGTTGCCGTAGGCCCAGTCGTCGTTGAGGCGGTGCCGGACCTTCTGGTAGATGGCTGACATGGTCTTCATGTTGCTCTTCCTCCACTGGCGCCCCAGGTACTTGGTCTGCACCTTGAGCAGCTTGAGCACGTAGAGCTGCAGCATGGCCTGCTTCACCTTCAGCGCCCGCTTCAGGATCGGAGCCGACTTGAACACCACCAGCATCTGCCATGGGACACGGGGGGTGGGGGGGGAA